CGCCAACCCACACCCCGACCAGACAGGGGCAGGGCCCCCTCGCATCCCATCCTCCCCTGGCCCCCTCGCTGCCCTCACCCCCCCCAACCTCTCCATCCATCCTCCCTCCCTGGCCCCTGCTGCCTCACCCCCCCACTCCTCCATCCAGGTCTTAACTTGCTGTGAAAAGTGATATTAACAAACATACCAATCTCACTTTTCACAGCATTATTTTTATTATTGATTATGCAAAAAGCCCTGCATAAAGAAATGACAATGCTCTGGCTGTGGACATGCCCCTATTGATTTGTTTTCCCTAAAGTTCATTAAGTATTTCAGGAAAAAATGTCAGTGCAGCCCCCAGCCAGAGTTGGTGGCCGCACTGTGAGGCCACCAAAAATGTGTTGTGAGACCCCCTGTCCTAGGCCACATGCCATAACAACACCCTGCAAAGGGGAGACACCGGAGCGAGCTGGGGCAGGCCCGCTCTGTGCTGAGGACCGGGTCAGGCTGACAGCTGTAGGCTTCAGTGTTCAAATACAAGGTGCGACCGAGCACAGGCCTGGGAGCCAGGAAGTCGTGAGCTCGGTGCCCAGCACTGAAACGAATGCCTTGCTCGGGCCGCCTTTGCATGCCTCAGTTTCCCCACCCGTGAAAAGGGGATAACACCATTACCCTCACGGTGGGGTCCAAAGCTCACATCCCTAAGTGGTTTGGTTTCTCTTTCTAGGAATAACAGGGGGGAGAGCAGAACCCAGACCCCGTCCTTCACTCCCAGCGCAGCTAGGCAGACCGTTTCTAGCCCCAGCCATCGCTTCTCCAAGCGCAGCACCTCCCCACCCATCCTCCCCGCTACACCCCCACGTCCATCTCCACTCGGGCACCGGTTGAGCATTCAGCATCGTCAGAGGACCAGGGCCTTACTGCTGCTCAGGGTGTAGGGGCCGTGGGGCAGGCCCAGGGGCAGCAGTGCAGTTAAGCAGCCTGGCTCCCTGTTGCCAGCCCTAGAGAAGGGCAGCACGGGGGAAAGAGGCACACGCCTGCCTCCATCACTGAACAGCCCCCATTGTCAGCAGGCCGAGAATGAGAACGAACCACCCATCGCCCCGTCCCAGGTGTGCCTGCCAGACCCCACCACCAGAGCGGGGGGGCTCCCAGGTGCAACAAACTTGCTCGTCAGGCTACAGGGGCACTAGGTGTAACGTAGCCCCCGTCGCTCCCACACACGACACAGACACCAAAGATCCAAGAAAAAGAAAGTGCTTTTATTTGCCTCCTCTGCGTGCAATGACTCCATCCTCCCACAGCGCTGCATGGCCGGGGGTCGGAGCCCAGAGTCCCGCCAGCCCCAGGGAAACTGAGCCAGCGTGGGGAATAACCCAACCAGCCCCCTCAGAGCAGATCGGGCCCGGGGAGGGGAGAAGCCAGCTGTCAGGCACCAGAGAGAGGAACTGGGGAACATCCGGGGGGGGGGGCGGCGCCCTTAGGCCACCTTTAAAGAGGAAACCAGCTGTGGGTCCCTTGAGATCTCTGGAAGGAACAACACGAGGGAGCTCACCTGAGCCTAGGGGAGACCTCTCCTGCTCCCGTAGCCTGGGAAAGCCCTTGTGCCTGAGGATTGGTCCGCCCGACCGGGCAGAGGTTACAAAGATGAAGGCTGGTGGGAAGTTACAGGCCAGGGTGCTCAGGGCATGTGTGTGTGTGTGGGGGGGGGGGGAGACGTTCCTCCAGCAGTCAGAAGGTGAAGGCCAAGTGAATGGCTGACCCAGCTTCGCCCCCCTCACCCCCACCCACTGGAATTCCAGCAGGAAAGGGGAGCTCGCCAGCCCCCAAGGGGGGGAAGGAACAATCAAACAGAGCTAGAGGGAGGCAGAGCTGCACCATGGAGGGTCCGGCAAAGGTGGGTTGAGCCTCTCAGCCCCAGGGGTCCATCCATCCAGAGAGAGCAGGACCAGGAGGGCACCCTGAGCTTCCTAAACAAGGCAGCGACATCAGATCTTGCTGGGGACTGGCCCGAGGCTTGGCTGGAGCCCGTGTGGCCCCGGAGCTCTGGGGCCAGCCCTCCCCGCAGCAAGTCTAACGGACACGACACGGCTCCGAGCCCGGAGGACCCGGCCTGGCAGCACTTTGCATAGCTCCACGGTGCCCAGCTCTCCTGCCCCAGCAAGGAGGGAGAGGGGCGCGGCCGAGAGCAAGCAGGGCAGCCGGGGCACCGGCCGCCTCGTCGTCCATTCCTCCTCCCACAGGAAACCACTTCACCGCCCCGCCCTGGGCAGCGGCCGTCAGATCCTAAGGCGGTGGGACAAAGAAGAGAGCTCACCAGCGGGGGCTGAGTGCCACCGCAATCACTGCCCCCCGGCGCAGCCGTTCCACACCCCAGCAGGCTGCTGTCCCAGACAGGACTGGATGCCCCAGGGGCTTGGCACCACCAGGTCGCTGGTTCACTCCCAGCCCAGGGAGGCAAGGTCCAAGGGCTGCTGTGAAGTGACAGGGCCGTTCCCAGCAAGGAGTCTAAAACTAGCGCCTGTCTGGACCGAAATGCCACGTCTCTAGGGGACGAGAAGGCCTTTCCCTCCAGGAGATGGATGCAAGCTGTGGGCAAAGGGGACCCAGACTGTCGCTGGGGCAACGTACCAAAGCAATCATGCTTCCCTTAGGAAAAGACACCCCCACCCTTCCCATAGCAGCTTCCACACTGCAAGGACCCCCCCGCTTTCCCAAGGGAGCTCTCGGCCGAGGATCCTCCTCTGTCCCTAAACCAGGGCTGGCACAAAGCGGAGACGCCCGCTGTCGTTCTGGCCCCAAGCGGGTAATGTCGTTAGACTGGCAAATAAACCGTGGGGGGGGGGGGGAGGGGAGACGGACAGACGCAGACAGACACAGGGCTACTTTCAGGGACACAGGCCACTTATGCACAACAGCTGCTCCTACCCCCTGAAAGCCATTTCTCAGAGGCTGCCTGAAGCACAGGGACACGGGTCCTTGCTTCCCCCGGGCCAGTTGGTCTGCCCCACCCCCCGCCTCCCCGTCCTTGAAAACCCAAACGTTCTCAGCCGTGCCCCCGGCCCCCCAGGACTTAACGCCTGCGGCGGGTGCTGGAGATGGTCTCCCGCAGACCCTTCTATTGGAGCGGGGGTGCACAGCTGGACAGACATCCATTCACCCTCGCAGCCCAGCGGGGCAGGGGAACCAGACACCTGATACAGCAGCACCCGCCCGCGCCCGGCGGGTCAGCTCAGTTTGCCTGGGCCCGTCTAACTGTGCCAAGGGATTTCCATGCCTTGAGCTGTCAATACCCACCCTCCCGGCCCGTGCAGGGATCCGCCCAGCAACAAACAGCCACCCCGGAGAAATCAAACCGCGCAACTTTAATTCCGCGCTCACAAGGCTTCGGCCCACTGCACGCAGCATGCCCCCAGCCGCCCCCCAGGGACCCACACGGCAACACAACAGCACAGCAAGAGCACACGGAGGGCTGGGGGGGGGGGAGAGTGGGGAGCAGGGCTGCCCAGAGGATTCAGGAGGCCTGAGGCAAAGCAATTTCGGGGGCCCCTTCCATAAAAAAAGTTGCAACACTATAGAATACTATATTCTCGTGAGGGTTCCTGTGGGGCCTGGGGCAAATTGCCCCACTTGCCCCCCCCGGGCGGCTCTGGCAGGGAGGGGCACACACCCCTTTAACCACCCCACCTTCCCCTCGCAACGGGTGCGTTGGGGAAGGGGGGACGAAGCAACACCGGCAGACGTGCTGCTGGCTCGGGGTTTAGAGCCATCTGCCGCTAAATTGCCTTTTCGGAGAGACCCCATTCCTAGACAGCGGCTGCCATCCAGACGGAGCGGGGAGCCACTGGCCGGAGGGGATGCCAGCGGCCAGGAGCACCCGGTATTTTAGAGATGGCCTCGCAGCGAACTAGCAATGCCTCGCTCCTAGCATTGCCTGCCCTGCCACGTGGCGGGAGGGGGAGTGAAGAGAACAAAAATCCTCCTGGGAATTCAGCAATCAAGTGAGAAATGAAGGGACAGGATTATTTGGAAACTGCTCCTGGAGAGTGGGGGTTCGGGGGGGGGGAAGAGGACACGAGGGACAGGCATCTCGCTCCCCCCCCCCCGACTAGCCCCCGCAGCAGGAATCGCCAGGGGGAGAGCTCACAAGACCCGCTCTGAGCTGGACCCGGTTTGCCCCCCAGTTGGGGGGGTGGGGCTGATGGGCTCGGGGATAAGGCACCGGGCTGGGGTTCAGGAGACCTGGATTCGATTTGTGGTTGTGCCATCAAGTCCGGGCGGCACACGCTTCGGGCCAGATTTTCAGAAGTGCCCAGCGTGGGAGGGGCTGACCTCGCTGAAACAGTCTGGCTGATGGGCGCGCAGGGAGTCAGTTCCCCCTCTGTAAAACCGGGATGATCCTTCCTCTCCTGCACCCTTTTTCTTCCCTATTGAAGACAGTCTTTTGGGGCGGGGTCTGTGTTTCACTGAGCCTCTGTACAGCCCCTGACACCAGGGGGCCTGATCTTACTTGGGTCTTCTAGGCACTACAGTGCTAAGAGAACAGACCCTGCCCGCTCCATTGAGCGTACGCGGGACAGCCGGGAGAAGGGCCATGCAGAATTGCTCCCAGCGGGACACACTCCACCACACATTTCAGAGGCTCTTCTCATTGTTATATGACGTGCCGTTTCGCCCCTGTAACGTCATCTCTGGAGTTTTCCAGCCAAGGACCCCACAGCGTGTTACAGGTAGCTATTACTACTGGACAGCCAGGGAAACTGAGGCACGGAGGTTCTGCAGGGAGCCCAGTGGCACAGGCAGGAACAGAACCCAGCACTCCCACTCTAACGCCACCACTCCACTCCACTCTCCCTCACCAGGGCCACGTGAGTGCCGGGGAACCCAATCGGGCAGGGCAAGGGCACACGCTTTCACCACAGCCTGGCTGCACAAAGCCATGCTGGAGCGAGACTGAGGATGCTTCGGGGGGCAGGGTGGGGGATTTCACAGTCCACAGAGGGGCTTGTTTGGGAACTGCTACGACAGCAGAGAGCCTTGTTGTAGCGCATGGGCTGGGGCAGGGGGGAGAGACGGCCAGACGCCCGCCAAGAAAATGCTTGTGACAGCAGTGGGCCGTGGTGGTGGATAGGAACTGGGTAGCGTCCCATTAAATAGCTAGGGGGGCATTACCCAGCTCCTGAGTGGAGCACCTGGGCCCTGCCTTCGGGCAAGGAGACAGCATTTTAATACAAGCCAACGGGCTAGCCAAGGCCTGCGTGCCCCCTCCGCACAGCACACCGGCAGGGAGGGGGCAGGCTGGGCTACCACCCTGCCCTGGAGACTCCCCCCACCCCCACCCGCAGGCAGCTCCAAGAAAGGGCGACATTTTCTCTTGTTGCGTTTCCCACCGCCTTGCACGTGTACACAGAGCCATACAGCAACACCTACTGGTTCTCCTCCCTGGCGCCGGGCAGCGTGCAAGGGAAACAGAGAGAGGGGACGGCCCCTGACATTAGACACCGGCCCAGCCACAAGCCTCTGCCCTCCACGCTCTCCTATGGGGTGTGAAGGGAGGCAGGGGCCCTGTTCCCACAAGAGAGAAGGTCCCTGAGCCGGGACTGGGGCAGAGAGAGGCAGGGCCCGAGGGAAAATGAGGCGAGCGTGTGCCCAGGACTCGGGCATGCCCAGAGGTCAGTCCCTACATGGGGCATGGTACCTTGGGCAGGGGAGTCAGGCCAAAGGGGAAGGGGGCTCTGGATGGGCCGGCAGGTGGAGGAGCGCATAGGCTGGGGAGAAGCAGAGGAGTGTGGGTGTTGGGGGGAGCTTCAATGGGCCCAGCCCAGAGCCAGTGGAGACACACAGGGGGAAGAAAAAGCGAGCCACCATTTCACCCAGCGTCAGTGACTCCGGCCCAGCCTCCCCTCTTGCAAACAGCCACTTCCCGGCTCCGGCCCATCCCCGCATGCCCCGGCCAGGCCACGGCCCCGATCAGCGTGAGGGCTCTGGCTCCATAGCAGAACGAGCTGTCCGAGGGGCTGGGTCCCCGGCTCCTGTCTCTCTGCTGCGAATGGCAGGAGACGGGGGATGATCCGGGGAGGGGAGAAGCCAGCTGGCAGGCACCAGAGAGATGAACCGGCGACAGATGGATGAGGAGGCAGAAAAACAACCAGATGAGAGAAACACGGACGAGGAGAGTCTCCACCAGAGGGAGAGCTGGGGTTTATTGCTCACGGAGAGCACGCGCTGGGGAGACCTGGCCTCCCCGGGGCAGGGAGAGGTGGAGCGGACGCCCCAGTGCGGCTGGGACAGGGGAAAGAGAGGGAGAACACAAAGGTTCACAGTGGGGTTTGCATGAGAGTGAACCAACAATGCACGGCCATGAGCAAGACAGAGGATGAGCCGCCACACGCGGCCACGTGCGCGCAGCTGCCAGAGACAGACACACAAGGATCTCACAGCGCGCTGGGGAGCAGGTGCAGAGACCCCAGATGCGCACGACTGCCTAGCCGTGGCGGGGGAAACGTACCCACGGTGACTCTAGACAGATTGCAGTCGGTGCTGTCTAAACAGGTGGAAAGATGGCAGCCGGACAGTGCTATTCCCCCACCCCTCCTGGGCTGGATCTAGCAGCTGCCCCACGTACAGCTATGGGTGGGTCAATGCCGAGCTTGTGGCACCAGTGGGTCTCCCTCCACACCCCATCACACACAGCAGAGCTCGCCCCCAGCCACTGCCGGGATCAGAGTGGTTCTTCAGCCCCAGGGCCGAGCCTGGCCAAGGCAGACAGTGTGTGTGTGGCGGGGAAGCTTACAGCGTCTGGTAGGTGCTGTCCTTGGACTTGAGGAACTTGACGATGAAGTAGAAGACGGCCTGGACGCTCAGCACGAGGACGATCCCCCCCACGAAGCTGGCCGAGTCGAAGCCAGGCGGGCGGAACTCGGGGGTGGCTGTCCGCGGGGGGCCGGCCGTCGTCCCTGGAGGGGGGAAGCAGCAATGGCGTTACTGGGGCCTGACGCCACGCACACACCCCTGCAACGCCACGGTCCCTCTCCTGGCATGCCACCTGCTCCCTAGTTACTGGCCACCTGAGCAGGCTTCTGGGCCCTTGGGGCCCGGAGCCTAGGTATGTTGTCCTTGGTGCTGAAGGCAACACCCCTCTCCTGCCCCTGGGCAAGCAGGGCTTCCCTGGGCAGTGATGGAAGAAAAGGGGCAGGAGGAAGAGTCGGGAGATGCCCCAGGCTCTGGAATAGGTTCACCTCAAGCTCTCCAGGAACTCGGAGGGGCATTCCACCTCGAGAGAACACTGCCCTCTCCGCCAACGCCCCAGCATGGCGCCAGGGGGACTGGGCCATCAGAGATGAAGCTGAGGTCCTGGCTGTTTGGGACAAGGGTCACTCCAGATCCCATGGCACTTCTCCCATTCTCTTTGGCCAGCAGCATCTCTTCTTCCCCACCCCGCCTGTGGTGCAGTGTATGAGCAGGCGGCTGCCCTCCTCCCCAGAGGTGGCTGCATTCCAGCACAGCCAGCATGCTGGGCTTCCTATTGTAACCTAGTCTCCCAAGCCCAGAGGGCATCTCATGCACTGAAGCGGACGGCGACGCAGCACCCTGTTGACTGGTGAGGAAGAACTAGACCCATCTGTAGGCAGAGGTGAGAGGAAGGGGCAGAGAACGCAGCGCAGCAGCGCTCTGCATCCTGACATGTTTTATAACCGAGTGAAATGCAAAGGAGGTGGGGGGGGGACACCTTCAGGCCCCCCATGCACACTACAGACCCCAGAGGGGTCACCGTAAGGAGACTATAGTGAATGGAGTTTAACCCTTTCAGTGCTCTCCCTATGCCAGCCCTTTCCTCTGTCCACACCACCTGCTGTAGCCGAGAGTTTACGGCAGAGCAGAGACTCTGTGTGCGCGTGTCTGGGAGCAGAGAGCGAACCAGCGGCGTGCGGAATGGGCGGACTGGGAAGAGAAGCCATCGGCTGCTCCGCTAAAGAGAGCGACTGCCCAGCAGAGCCTGGGCTGGATCAATAATTCACAAAGCTGCAGGATACGGTTACTCGTTTTAATTAGCTGAAAGCTCTCCGATTCCTGCTCCTCCTTCCTGGAAAAAGCCTCCTTCTCATAAGCCATCCCGCTCCCCATCCTCCCTCCTGGCTACCCCCCGCAGCAGCAAGAGCCTATTACGAGCAAGGGCCTGGAAAGAGCATTTGTTCCCGTTACATTCCGCCTGCCTTCATTTCCCCCGGCAGGTTCATCTGGAGGCAGTATTCTCTTCCTATCCCATACTGCATTGCTGCAGCCTGTCTCACAGGTGCTGGGGGCCGCTCCACCCAGGACTCGGCCGCATTTTAGTGGGGAGTGAAGCAATGCTGGGAGAGTCTCTATATAAAAGCAGATGTCTCTCTCTCTCACTTGCGCCCAGGCCTGACTTGTCCAAACGTTTGGACCTCAAATACACGTGCAAAATGAGGGTGCAAGTTGATCAACTTGTGATACTCTGCACGAGCGATGACCTTGTTTGCACGAACAAATCACAGTTAACTGTGCTTATAAGTTAGTACATCAGTGTCTCCCTCCCCCCACCCGCCACTTTTTTTTTTTAAGTCAGGCCCATTGTTTAGATATAATATGTAGCACTGGCTGCTTCACAAAAGGCGCGCCGGGCACTGCACGCAGCATGGGGAGCTCTGAAGGGAGAGGTGTCAGTCACCCCTGCCTTAGTACATGCTAGGCTTTCACAACCAAAATATTTGGAGGTCCCCCCAATGGGGCTATTTCCTACGTGACAGGTCTTTGATTAATAGAATACTTTGCCCTTGTATAGCACCTGACATTTACCTAGAAGCACTTCAGGCAGTGACTAGTAACCCTCCAGACGCTCCCTGGGATGGAAGTAAAAGTATTATTCCCCTTTTTAGTACAGATAGAGAAACTGAGGCACAGAGCAGGGGAGGGAGAGGAGGACTTTCCAGAAGTCACACAGCCAGCGCGGTCAGTAGAACCCAGGAGTCCTGAGGACCAGGCCTGCGCTTGAATTACGGCACACGCTTCCCTCCCCTCTTTCTGCAGAAGAAATTCTGGAACGAAGAGACATTCGACTGCCCGGCCCCTCCCCGGCTCCTGTCTGACGCGGGAGGGAAGGGCACGTGTTCTCAGCACAACAAACCCGCCAGACCCCTCCCTGCTGACCTGAGCCTGGTGCAAGAACCACACATTAGAACTTGCCTCTTCTCCAGCCAGCCACGGTCGGCCACTCCCTCCCCAGCCCAATGGGTGCCACTTGCCTGGGGTGAGGATCTCAGGCTCCTTGGTGGATACGTGCTGAGTCTCCTTGGTGGATGCGCGCGGAGGCTCCTTGGTAGGCGATCTCCGCGCTGAGGGTGGAAGAACAAGACTAGGCGCTTAGAGGCCAGAGTTCCTCGCTGGCTCTCACCATGGCTGGGACTGGAGCTCCCCCTTCAGCCAGTGTTCCTGCCCCATTCCCTACAGCGCCCCCTACTGGGAGAGTCGGGGACTGGAATAGCTGTGAGCTCCCCCACAACCACTGCTCCTGCCCCATTCCCTACAACGCCCCCTA